CATAACTTGCTCACATTCTTGCTATACTAATTCAGCCTTACTACACTCAAGATCGCTAAGAGAATGTTAAAAAGAATACAAGATAATTATTAAAGGAAACTTTGTATTAGAGAGAACTTGAATTGATTGCTAAGTGAATTACAAATGAATATCACCATTTATATACTACTCTTCTAGGGGCTAGTGAGTAAATATAAATTATTACACAAGTCCTTTATATTTACAAGTAAGTCATTTTTTAAAAAATTTTCTACATAGTTAGAATCTTCTAAGGACTTTCCTAGCAATTCCATAGAGTTCTAAGGTAGTTCATGAAAAATCTTCATATTTTTCTATAACCTTCCCACATGTGCTAGTCTATTTCATATGTAAGCTTTTCGTATGGCAAAAATATATGTCAAATAGTACATACATGGTATGATGATATGGCAGGTCATGACACAACACATAAAAAAAAAAAAGTATACTTGCATCTTTAGTTTTTTCTTTACTTAGACCTTTAAACTAACGTCAAAGTGTTTTAAATTTAAAAAGACTATTGTATGAACAAAATGTTAACTTTTTCACTTACATATTATTATGTATGCATTTCTAAACTCAAAAATAAAACGAGATTAATAAAATCGTATAACATGTTTGGACAACAGTCGATAAATCAAGATTCTAGAAGAGAATAAATGGGAAAAAATTGATTAGGATAAAATGAAGTGCTTTGCTTCTCATCGAAAAAAACTAAGATTATTTTTCGTTAAATGTTCTTAATTACCAACCATCTTAAACCCCACCTCCCCTCTCCCAAAAGGGGGGAAAAACCATACTAGATATATGTTACTATATCAATTTGTAAAAGGTTAAGTGTATAGGTTAGATGAATCATCCAGTGAGTAGGGATAAGAGAATAAAACAGAGATGAGAAGACAACTCACCAAACATTAAACCTTAGGCTTGTAATGTGCTTTACGCTAATTGGTAGTTAAGAAACAATAAGTTTCAAAGTTTTGGACATACGTTGAGTTTATTCCTTTAAAGACTTTATGCTTTCTTATTTTTTCCCGTTTGACACAGATGTCTCCATCATTTGGCATCTCTCTCAATCTTCAATGAAATCAATTATCAACCACTAGCCCTAAACGATACACAAATATGATTGAAATGTATAAGCGGATTTAAAATTTAAATTTTATGGGTTCAATTTTTAAGATTTTTTGCTTTGAATCCATTATATTTATAAAGTTATGCGTTCATATCTATTAGTTTTGCAATTTTAATGAGTTTTAAATATAAATTTTTACTTCGCGTCAAAAGTTATGGGTTCAATTGAACCTGTCAGTTCAACACTACATTCGCCCCCGATGAGATGTACGAGATTATTTACTATTAATGAGAGATCTTAAATTCCAGTTTTACGAATAAGAAATTTCTGACACAAAGGCCTTTTCTTTTTATGAACCTTATCCGATGCAAATCTAAATTAGTTTGATTATCAAATGTCAAATTATTATACCGCAATTAAAAAAATCCACTGGCCTGCCGTTCCAATTATATTTGCGTGTGGAATGGATGGTAGAAATTTTTATGTACTATTGTCCTCGTCCACCTAATTCGTTTATTGACAAGAGTACGATTTAACTTATTTATAACACTTCAAAAACAAAACAAAAAAATGGACAATCAGTGTATTTAAGCTGTTGTAGTAGGTAAAATATTTTAATTTTTATGTTATTAATCCAACTTTTTATGTGAAAATTACATGTAATAATTATTTTGCACGTCAAGTGTCTAGGAGTAAAACTCCGAAAATATGTATTACATGATTTTTTGTTTGTTTTGTTTTTTTACTTTGTAATTAGAAAATATAAGAGAAAACAACACTGAGTCCTATATAGAAGATAGGGAGAATGTGGAAAGGAACAAGACTTTTAGGGCCTGATTTGACAATTGTTTGGTGATTTTCAAGATTAAAGGAAGCAACCAACGAGGAGTTACGATATTCAAAGGCAAACAAACAAGATCCAAGAAACGTATTTCAAATCTCGAGTAGAAATTTTGAATTCTCACCTTAGAGTTATGACTAGTTTTCTGAATGGAGTAAATTAAAATCAGTGAAGGAGGTATAATTTTTATCAAGCAGATTTAAAAAATAAAATAAAATAAGTTAAATATTCAAAAAATCAAAGGGATTCAATATTTTTAATAAATATATATTTTTAGCAAAAGTCTCGTTTTGTGAGAAGTTTCCGGCTTGAGTGTGTCCCCTCCCTAGCTTGTTGTTTTCTTCCTTTACAAAATGGCCGGGTCGGCACTATTGTTTAGGTTAGGAATGAAGGTCATTAATTCAAAGAGTACCATCTGATATAATAATAATAATAATAATAATAATAATAATAATAATAATAATAATAATAATAATAATAATAATAATAATGATAATAATAATAAAACACTGGTAAGTGTAGAGAAGATTAAGTGGGCGTTTGGACATAAGAATTGTAAAAATATTTTTTTTTAAAAGTGAAAAACAAATTCAAGTGAAAATAGTATTTGAAAATTAGAGTTGTGTTTGGACATGAATATAATTTTGTGCTGTTTTTGAAGTTTTGTGAGTGATATGAGTGAAAATTTTGAAAAACAGTTTTTTGGAGTTTTTAAAATTTTTCGAAAAATTCCAAAATTTATCTTCAATTGAAAATTAAAAATTTTATCGCCAAACACTTATTTCAAAAATAAGTAAAAAAAAATCGAAAAAAGTAAAAAATTTCTTAGAAAACGGATGAAATTTTAGAATGATTAAAAAGGTATAAAATAGGACAATAAATTTGAGAAGGGAAGAATAATAAAACTTAGAACTTACTTTCCCATGAGAATCACAGAGAAGCTATACCCATACCCACCACCAAAGGATATGGTGCAATGGATGAGACTGCTATTCACTTAACAAGAGGTCTCGAGTTCGATCCTTGGATATAGAAAAATCTTTGGTAGGGAGGGTTTTTCCTCGAATGGGCCCTACACGGCACAAATTCGAATATAGTCGGACTCCAACACGGGTACCGAACATCAAATGAGAAACTAAAAAATAAAAAAATAAAAACTATACTCAGACCCTGCAAGGACGTTCTACACAAAAGATGTAGAACATTTTTCGACTACTTATAGTTACATATGAATTTTCTTTTAAAAAATATAACTTGTCGTTTATAATTCTCTGATAGCAAATGACTTATTAAAAAAATAATTTTTAATTTGATCGTAACACCTTATATAATTAATGATTCAATTTCTTTGTTAAAAAAATTACTGATGTATATGTGCATTTAATAGTGCTTCATCAGTTGAATTTTTTTTGAATTTTTGTAAGCCTTCAATGAATACGTGCTATGTTAAGAATAATAACCCATGACACTATATAGGAAAACACTTTCTTAAAAAAAAAAAAAAAAAATTATCGGAAAAATATAAATGAAGAGATAAAATTTTGTTAAGAAAGTTATATTTGAAAATCGTAATGGGCAAATGCGATCTATAAATTGCATTCCGAAAATATGACTTATAAATCCAATTTTCCAAATGCATTATAAGTTCATTCTCAAAATACTATTTGTTGACTTATCGTATTCATAAAACCCAACCGTGTTCCTCCTCCTCAACTCTTCTGCAAATAGTGTAGCCGCTTTTAACTTTTAGGAGAGGAAAAAAAGAAATGGGGAGAGCAGCAAAGAGCAATTGAATAAATAGTTTTCCTCATTATTAATTAATATTAATTTTTTATAAATAGTTTATATTAGGTCTCTTTTGTTGATATTTATATTGGTTTTCAGTAGTTAAAATTGGTTCAACACGTTTTCAAAGTCAACCAATTGGAATTGACCCTAAAATAGCTTGGTGGTGCAGTTTCCTTCTCTGTCCTTTTTCCAGACACAGCCATCTATTCCTTTGTTGTTATACCATGTCTTTGTTTGAGCATCTTTTAGCATTATTGAGCCTTAAGTTCTAAAACTGGTAATTCGGTACATATAAAAATAAAACTTTTGATCATATTAAAGTTCGTATAACTTTCCAGAATATTCATACAACTGTATTTTTCTGTTTCCAAAATAATTTTTATTTTAAAAAATGCTTCAGTGTTGTGCTTAAAGGTAAAGCATATGTAAAATTAACTTCTGGAAAAGACCAAACAAACATACTGTTGTTTACAAATTTTTCCTAGAAAGTTTACAAAAAAAATTCGAAGCACGGAAAACTCCTCAACACTACTAGGTGGGCGTTTGGTGTACTCCGGTTTAGTACTTTGGTATTCAGTATTTCGATTGTATATACGAAATATCGATGGCATGCTTTTTCTTGTTCGGTCCGGTTTTTCGATTTTATGATTTTTATGCTCACCCCTAAACACTATTACAAATAATAAATATGGCTCAATTTCAAACAAGTTAGGATCGATTAGTATGAATTTTTACCGATTACTTTATCCGTCTCAAATTATCTGTCGTGTTTCTGTTTTACAAGCCCCTTAAGAAAATAATTATGAGGTATTTTTTATTATTCTACCCTTATTTATGTCTTATTGGTATTTGAACAATCATAATATTATCTCATAATTGAGGTGTTTGTAGTATTCAATAACAATTACTACTAAAGGTAAAATAGGAAAAAAAAATAATTAATTTAATTTTAAACTTTTAAAATGATAAATAATTTAAGATAATTATTTTTAGAAATCACAAAAAATAATTTGAGACGGGGAAATCTCCTAAACACGCTTGGAACGAAAAAGAAAAAGAAAAAAGAAAAACTCCGGAACACCTTCATGCTGTGAAATTTCACTACTAGAAAGTGATGAAAACATCCCACGTCAACTAATCTTATACATTAAACTTTATATTATTATTATTAACATCGTCCCCCCACCAAAAGATCCTCTCTTAACAAATTCTTTTTTTTAAAATTACTTAAGGCACCTAACTTTAAATAAATGATAAAAAAAATTTGCATGGTGGACAATATTCTCCCACCTAAAATTATCAAAGGCATAATACAAAGTGGCCTAAAGCCTTACTCTTGCTTTTGTTCTATACTTTTTCATCTTTCCTTATTCTTAAGTAAACCCCTCAAAAAAGTCTCTGTTTCTCTAATAGTACCTTTTTTCCTACTTCATTTCCTTCACTTTCTTTCTACATCACAAAACATGGCTTCTAAACTCATAAATATTCTCTCAACACTGCTACTGTATTTTCCACTAGTGCTATTACTCAGTTCTCCGGCAAGAATCACAGCCCAAGAATGTCCTTACCCGTGTTATCCGGCGCCGACCGGCCCCGCCGGAAACAACCCTCCTCCGGCAGCTACAACTCCACCAACTTCACAAGGGTATGTTCCAAATAATCCATCAACTAATTACAATCCACCACCAGCTGGTTATAATAATAATAATCCACCAAATGATTATGATAATAACTCTCCACCAGATTTTGTAAATGGTGAAGTACCACCACCACCTGAACCAATATTGCCTTGGTTTCCATTTTACTACAGAAAGCCTCCTCATTCTGATAATGATCAATCTTCATCTTCACTTTCTATTCAACAATCAAGAACCAGCTGGAAGAATATGATGATTATCACCACTATTTTTCCTTTGATTTTCATGACTTTGCTTTTTCACTAATATAAGTTAGTGAATTTTGATGTAATTAGTAGAGCACGTGTTAATTAGATTGTTATGGGAATTGTTGTAGGATTTTGTGTTCTAATGATCAATATCAGTCCGTTTTTCTATATGTATTTACTTTGTATGGACAGAGGAGTTTCTCTCTGTTTTTTTGATTTTGCAGAAAAGGGGAAATTATATACTCCTATTTGGTGATAAACAACAACAACGACCCAGTATATTTGGTGATAAACAAGTGGATGGATTATTGTGTTTTTATCTGTTGCTATCTTCCTAATAACTTGATTTCACATGATTATTTTGTATCAAAAAAAGAATATTATGAATAGTTTTTACTTGCACATTGAAATGGCCATTTGAACCCTTTGAGGTCAATATTGGCTTCTTTTTTCCTGAAAAAAAAAACAATTATCCAGCACTTATAATACATTGTTTCGATAGTCTAGAATTGACTAAACAGAAAAAAGCTTGTTATCACGAGTTTAATCCTTCATTCCTCTATTTTCAAGCTCTTGTGGTAGGTCAGTATAGGCTTTATTCCCTCCGTTTTCAAATTAGATCAATTATTTTCCTTTTTACTTTATTTCATAATAAATTACACATTTTTAAATTTAAAAATATTTCAACTTTAAACTCTTCATTTTACTTATTTTACCCTTAATAAAAAAAATTTATAACCACACAAATATCATGACCCCGCAAAACTTTTCCCTCTTAAACTTTTAAGGATACAAATTTCAAAAGTTTTTATTTTTATTATAAGATTATAACCACCACCTAGCTTTGACCTCTCTTTTGAACCAGTAGCCTCTCCTTTCCTACCTTTTTATCATAACAACCAACTTTCCCAGAAATTCATGCCAGTTGCATCACTTCCTTTTCAATTTCTCAGATACACCACCTTTTAATTGTTTGTTTATTTATTTATTTATTTTGTGTTCTGTTTAGGGTAATCTGGTGACTTGACCATAAAAATATACTAACATGAGATACTTATTATAGTATTATTGCATTTTTCCTTTAATTGGAGTAAATATCACTCCATCCGTCTCAATTTGTTTGTCAATTTTTGAGTACCGGAAATTAATTTGACCAAATTAAATACTAAACTGCACATAGATTAAATTTCGTTTGAAATCAAATGAATATCAAGAGCTAAACCCAGGCACTATCAATTACTATAATTCTTCTTATATATATCGAAGTGACGAGAAAATACACTAATAGCTCTAGTAAAAGATCATCTAATTTGAACACTTTTCATACAAACGCAAAAAAGCAGTTTCCTCAGTACTGCGTTCGGTCCAATTATTATTATTTTTTTACTTTATAAGAGGATGGTATTTATAACTTTATTGGTTCTCTTTTGTGTTTGTTAGTAAGAATGAGAAGTGTAATTCTTTTTTGCAATGTCGGGTCATTTTAAAAGATAACTAAATGTGACTTCTCATAATCGCTCAAATTAATTACTAGAAACTAAAACGAATGACCTTCTGTAACGTATTAAATTATAAGGTGCATCTTTCTTAAAATAGGTTTAACTTATACACACACGTAGTGGAGCTACATATTGGCCAAGAAAACCAAGGGAAGAAAAAGCACCACAATAATCATCTGTTTCTTTTATTTATGTTTTTCTATCTATTCTCTTTTCATTTATTTTTTCCTTTTCCCCCTTTATGAAGTGTAATAAGGTGCAAAATTAATAATTGATGAAATTAATGAACAGACAGGCTGTGAGAGATTAAGAGAGTGACATTTCGTCTAGTAGCCTAAGGTGTTCAAAGGTCACAATCTCATCAAATGTTTGTTTTCCCACTATGGATTACCATTAAAGACTTGAGAGATTAGCAAATATATGATGTTAATCTCAAGTTATGGCATGATTAGATTGGATGATTAATTTGCATATGATGTCGACTCTTTGTACCCTAGAATAAGTTAATATTTTATGAAGAGTCTTTATAAGTATTTAATTGTAAGAGATGAACGGCTGTGCTTTAGTGACTAGTCTATGAGAGATACCAATCAACTACCAACAATGGTGGTCCTATTACTATATGATTAACAAAAGGGCAGCCCGGTGCAATAAGTTCGTACTATGCACAAGGTCCGGAGAACAAGGATGTACTAAGCTCCCACAATGCGCGGGGTTCGGGGAAGGGCCGGACCACAAGGATGCTCTAAGCTCTCACAATGCGCGAAGTCCGGGGAAGGGCCAGACCACAAGGGTCTATCGTACGATGCAGTCTTACCTGCATTTCTGCAAGAGACTGTTTCTACGGCTCAAACCCGTGACCTTCTGATCACATGGCATCAACTTTACCAGTTACGCCAAAGCTCCCAAGCTCCCCTACAGCTATATGATTAACAGTTTTAAGATAAAAGAAAATAGAATTGGAATTGCCTTTCCTTTTCATAGTAAAGGTGTTTTTCTTTGAGGGGAGGAAAGGAGGGGGTAGGGTAGGAAAGACAATCTAATAAGACCAATAACTGAACTGAAATTTAACATCTTATTCAGTGTGTTAATATTTAGTAGTACAGCATTCATGGTATTTCAAGAACTTGGCTTAAAGAGGTCTATAATTATTTCTCTATCCAAACTACACATAGTTACAGACTGCTTATCTAACAGAAACGCTAACCTACACACTAAGTATATCGTCTCAACATATTTGATCCATCACATTTGCTATGTTGCGAAAATGAGAATTCACACATTACAATCTGACTTAGGAGCAAGATCACCAAGTTACCTTCATTACGTCGTCCGTCTTGCAGACATGACGGGTTTTATAAGATGTAAAAGCTGATGTGTTTAGGAAGCAACGCCAACAGCTAAACGACCCATTCGTGTACTTCTGCTCAAATCAATACTTCTAATATCCTTTCTCATTGCACCATTTCCCATTCTTCGCGCAACAACTTTAGTTTTCTCCTCAGCTTTGAAGCCCTTGTTCCCCTTGTTCCCATCTGGTGTTTTCGGTCTTGGAGAATTCACAACCTGCCTTTTCTCTTGCTCTCTCTTTGGAGCTACTGATTTATTCGATCTGGTCTGTCGAGAAGTTTTGCTTGTTGGAGCTGAAGATGGCACACTGCTGTCTGATAATTCTGCTGAAGGATGATTGGTTACTTCTGACGCCTTTGGTGAATCAGCCACATTTAGACGTTCATTAGTGGAACAGCTGTTATCAATTTCTGCCCCTGAACGAGGAACGATGTTCTCTGTTTCACTAGTAGCTCTTGTCCCTGGAGATGAAAGCCTGCTTTGTGATTTACTTGATTTAGTCTTACTTGCTAACTCCTGGAAAATCAATCAAAGAAGCAAGTTATATGATTATGACTATCAAAGCGGGAGGCAGAACTAATCACCAATTAGAAGGATAATGATCAAGAACAACTGATGAACGAGTGCAGACACACTCATAAATAAAAAGACAGACAGATAAGTAGCAAGACCATTTTCCTGTTTCAGCAGGATCTACAAGATTTATATAAATAAGGAGAGAGATTGGCTGGTCTCAATCCATCTTCAGATCATATAGCTAGAGATGGAAGATTGTCAATACTAATTGCTGTGACATCAATCAAACAAGTTTGGCATCCATGTGGCTGGCCTCTCATATTACTCAGATCCGCATGAAAGGGTACTATTCACTAGGCGATTATCATATTATTCACTATGCATTCAGCTTTCAGCCTTGAGAGGATGTTAGAAAGTCAAAGTTTAACAACCATCAAAGTTTCCAACCATCCATAACAGAAATTAACATCCGAGGCTTCCAAAAGCCTTTCTCAGATAAGAAAGTTTACTTTGAAGCAAACCTGTTCCTAGGGTACAAGATGCTCTGTTCCTTCCTTTAGTGTCAATGTTTACCCTTGATCAAGGATAGCAAGACAGAAATTTCCAATTTTTTTATTTTTTTTTCTCTTTGGTTTTAATTTTTAGAAAGGTAAAGTCGGTTGTCCATGAAAGGAGATTTGAGTCGTATAAAATTACAGGGAAATGATTCTACCATAATCAGTAAAACAGCTTGTAAACGTATTTTCTCAGGCTATACATTTCATGCGAACAGCATGCCGAAGTGCATGGTTTTGATGCATCCTAATTTCAACACAGGAAATATGTAAAATAACAGAAGGATTAGGATTATAATATTGAGCTTTTGGGGCTCTGAGTAATCTCATTATTTGTGACTTGTTAGTTGTTAATACCTTGTTTCTTTCTGACCAACGACCAGGTTCATGGTAGAAGGCAGGCATTGGAGTGGCTTTGAAATTGAGACTTTTCCTTAGCTGTTTGAGCTCTGCTTCTTTCTTTACCTAAAGATATCACAAAGTAAATCAAACTAACTGTCATTAATCACAGCTACCAATCAACAAAAATTGCCATCCAACCCATAGCTACATTGGATATATCAATTTGCAAGTCTAAACAGATAGCAGAAAATAAAATAAAAGAGAAGAAAACCTAACTGAATATATACCAATGATCTTTTAAGCTAGCATTGGACAGAAGCAGCCTAATGATTCTCTATATTAATCTACACCTGTTTAGAACAGTCACAAGAATCATTGCCTGACTTTATTACCTGAGTTCTTGCTTGGAGCTGATGTTTTTCTGCCTCTTTCGCATGCATTTTCTCCTCTAGCTTCACAAGGAACTGAAATCAATATCAAAAACTTTTTGAAGGTTATATATGACTTTTAAACTTTATCGAATTGACACAAGAAACTGGTCCTTGCCTCTTTCCTTTTCTTGGCGCGCTCTTCACATTTGAAACGGAAACCAGATCCATTCTGTTTCATGCCTGGTTGACTTGAATTCACACTCTGCTTATCCCTGAACAACAACAATATGCATAAGATAAATGCTGATGAACACAATATGTACTTAAAGATCACAATTTTACCACGATATTGACCTGTTTACACTTTGATATACTCTTTGGCTAACTTTCTCTGTACAGAAAGCACGAGAAGCGACCACCTTTTTTGCTCTCGGATCTTGTTCACTGCTACATAATTCAATAACAACGAGATCAGGAAAATTAGGATGAATCAGTGGGAACAAAATATCCTAAATTTTTAATATGGAAGACATAATTAGCAGCATACCTTTTCTGTTGATCAAGTACATTAGCTTTTGAACCTGAAGAAACCTATATAAAGCAAGCCACCTGTTACCATCAATTTAATAATAGAAGAAGAATTGAAAATAAAATAAAATTTGAGCAATGGAGCAATAAGTTCCAAAGCATTGACATAGCAGGGCTTCCTCCTCCATATAGATATTCAATATGAAGATAACACTAAGCCTAAAACTGATAACAACCTCTGGTTTTGGCATTCTGGCAGTTGGACGCAAATGGAGAGTGTTCAGAGCTTCCAATCCGGGCTTTTCTCCTTTTTGTGTCAAGGAAACATCGCTATGCCTTCTATTTGGTTTTCGTGAAATGTCTTTATATGCTTGTTTTGAGATAGTCCCCTTGCCATTAGCAACATTAACTTGGGACAACATTCTGGATTTTGCATCTCTTGATCGAGAAGCAGTCCTCACCTGCAATTTAGGCACAGGGGAGTCTACATAAAGGGGAGATAATTTTCTGCTCTAGAAGAAGACTACAAATGCTATTATTTAAAATAGCTTAGTACAGTAAGCAAGAAGGATCGGCACCTGCTGTAAAAACAGAAGATTAATAATAACAAATGCTAAAAGAGGTGTACCTTCGAAGATGAACTTCGTTGAGGTGCTGAACAAACACTACCATCTTTCTCAGTGGTGTGAGCATTTGAGGACAGATCAACAGAGGTTGATGAAACCTCCATACTGTTATCTTGGTCTTCTCGTTTCTCTTTCACTTCAATCTCAGGTGCAGGATCATCAACAGCTGAATTTCCAGCATCAAGATGATATTTTGCTTCTGCTTCCAGATGCTCAGAAATACTTTGAAGTACATGGGATCTGTCGGTGGCATGTTCAGTATGAGGTCCTGAATGGAAAATTATACTATCTTCTCTGTCAAATTCTGTGACTTCGTCGTCTCCGTTGTTTGATCCATCAAAACTCTCCACAAAGCGTGCAGAATGACCAACCTCATTCACTCGCTCAAAGTCCCCATCATAACCTGTATTTTCAGTGACATAATTTTCACTAGCTTGATATTTTTCATTCTTCAGTAAATGGATTGGTCTATCCTGATTTTCATCAAAGCGAGCCGAATGGCCAACTTCACTAACATGCTCAAAATCCCCCTCATAACCTGTACTCTCAGCGGCATCATTTTCACTAGCTTGACAATTTTCATTCTTCAGTACGTTGGCTGATCCATCATGATTTTCAACAAAGTGTGCAGAACAGCCGACCTCATTAACATGCTCAAAGTCCCCCTCATAACATGTATTCTCAGGGCAATCGTTTTCACTAGTTTGAGACTCGGTCCCGTTCTGCCACTCAGACGAGCTCTGGCTTAGAAGTCCCCTCCTCCTAAAACGCGCCTCAAAATATGCTTTCTTCTCAGTTACAGAACCTGGCTTCGAGTATTTCTCAACCTCTTCAAGATACCTGTTATGTGTGAAAGAAGACCTCCTCTCCCAACATAAAGCTTCGTTTTCAAATCTACCGAATGAGATAGATCCAGATTGCCACGAATCTGCCTGTCAATTTTGGTAATGTAGATTAAGACCAAGAATCAGAAACCGACTGATCACAAAGTTACTTCTCATGAAAAATCTTCACATACCTTAAATGGTTTAACTAATAATATCTCAATTAACATCTCCTAACACTCTATTGTTAAAAGGGATTACAAAACTACAACTATTCCAGAAGACAATTAAATCTTTTGCACTAAAAGTTTCTTTCCACAAAGTCTCAATCAATGAACAAGCATGCAATCCAACATTTAGTATATCATTTCATGGCAGTGTTGTGGATCCATAACTAACAAACCTACAAAATACCAAGAGTTTTCAAATCAACAAAACACAAAGAAGTTACTAAAAACATTCAGTAACCGCCTCAAACCGCCTGAGTAAAAAGGTCCAAATTTAACTTATGAAAAGTGCTTATATGCATCTTATTAACCATAATTTAATCATATTCAATTCCAAAAACAGATAGACTGATACTGAAACAACTAACCTACAACATAAAGATTCCAACTTTTTTCTTAAATTCATATTTTATCATATTCAACTTATGAATGAATGAGAGTAACAAATTGTAAGATCCAAAAGGGGAATAAAAACAGCAACTTTACCTGAAAACTAAGCCTAAAGGGTTCTTCAATATCACCTGCCATTTCAAAACTGATCCTTTTAAAGCACCTTCATAAATATTATCTGCATTTTTTCAACAACAAAATCTTTAAATTCTGAAATATAACACAACATTACTTAAAAACAAACAGACCCTTTTCACTATTTAATACATAAACATCATAAAATTGGACCAAAATGAATTTACATATAAAAAGAGCAAGAAAGTTACAAGTTTTAAGGAAATTGCGGCAGAATCTTGAAAAGGGTTAGTAGAAGAAGCAAATTTGGATCAATTTCTTTGGTAAAAAGTGAGAAATAAAGTGGAAGAAAACGTGTTAAGAGTATAGAAGAATCACTACTTTGCTTTGAAGAAGGGAGTTTTAACAAGGATTTAAGAGACTGAGAAGGACTGGTAGTTAAATGGAGTGAATATGAAATGTTGAAAATTTTCTAATATAATTATTATTTTTGGATTAAATAACTGATTAGTAGATCTTAAACCGAACCGAAAACATAGAATAGGAAAAGAAAAGGTTGAATTGCAGTTACGTCCTTCTTGTTTAGCAATAATATTAAACAAATCCAACAAGTTTGTAAATCTGACTGACCTCACTAGTGTTTCTATGAAAATTCCCTTTTCAAATAATTACATTTTTTCTATTTGTTGAAACTTTAAATATTATATTGAAAAAAATTGAATAGTCCTACAATATTTTAAAAATTACTAAACAATATAAGATTTCTAATTATTAGAAATAAAAAAGAGAATAAATTATTGGTAGGAATGAAACAAAGAAGAAGAAATTGATTATTATGCAATATCTCTTTTAGTAAAAAAAAATTCGATTTCAATTTTTTTTGTTTTTTGAATTGATAGATAATAGAGGGAGCAACATGCATACAATTTATTAAAGCAAAAGTATGAAGTGTGCAATATTACAAAGTTATAAGGAAGACAGCTGCAATTTACCGAACATTTATGATCCAATGCTTGTGGGGTGCATCAGTAATCATGTGCTTGTGTTCCCCTTTTTGTCTGCTTCTGTGGACTGGCCCACGTAATCTGGGTCCCACTTTAAACCTTCCCCACCTAATCGTTATCCTGGCCCTTAGATGTTCTCAATCGGACGGTCAGGAATTAGTTCTGACTCTTCCACGTGTCCTTTAATCTTTTATTACCCCTTCTAAGGATCAAAAAGTTTCTTTGAACTTTCCACGTGGTGCCACTCATTTTTTTTGGTTTAATTAATTAATATTCGCTTCGGAAAGTTCATTAAACCGCTACCTATTATTTATCAAATGCAATTTCATATAATTTACATCATATTTCTTAAAGTGTAGTCTTTTCTCGGACTCTACGTGAACACGCAAAATATTTGTATATTGAATTGACTTTTAATTTCATATACGAAATTTAAATCCGAAACAACTAATTAATAATAAAAAAATATTTATCATGACGTTATAACTTTTATAGTAGGATCAAAAAGTTAAAGAGGGCCAGAAACAAAAAAAAAATCTAAAAAGAATAATTTACTACAAAAAAGAGGATTATAATCGACTAATTAGATTTTCAGATATGTGATAGGCAATGATGAATCGTGTGATTAATAGCTTTTCTAATGGTGGAGCCATTATGTGGATAATATAGATCTGCCTTTTCAAAGACTTTGGTGAACCATTTGTTAGCTTATTGTATTTTACATAATTAAATGCTAAAAAGGAAATATAAAGTGGGATTATATTATGATCTTGGGACAAGACAGATGTTGATTTGGATTATTAAAAGACATTAGAATATCTTTGAGACATACAGGTGGAATGCCGAGGTGGAGTCAAAATTTCAAGTTTATGAGTTCGAGATTCTAATCGTTTTAAGTTAGTGAGTTTTAAATTAATAATTTATACATGTTCAATGAATCTTTTAAGACAAATAAAGGATTCGAACCAAAGTATTCTGCCGAACCCATTCCTACCACTCTAGCTCCGCCCCTAGTCGAATGTCATTTTTAGCAATGCATTTTCAAGTTTATTTTATGCGAAAAAGGTATGGACCAGTGTATCCATTAATTTCCATAATTCCTTTATTGTTTTTGAGATGCTGAGCAAAGCAAGCACGCTTAGAATGCTACGCGCAAATATTTTTGGTTGAAAAATTAACCTTAAATAGCGGTTCACCCAATTAGTTAAACTAATAATTTTTTGTTGAAGAATTAAACTTAAATAACCGTTCATTTAACTGGTTAAACTAAAAATAGTACTACCTCCGTTTCAGTTTATGTGAACCTATTTCCTTTTTGATCCATTCCAAAAAGAATGATCCTTTTCTAAATTTGAAAATAATTTTGTTTAAACTTACAATTCTACTCTTAATGAGAAGCTTTTATAACCACACAAATATTCTGTGTCCCATTTTGAATTATTTAGGACTACAAATTTCAAAAATCTTCATTTTTTCTTAAACTCCATGCCCAATCAAATAATTTCACATAAATTGGAACAGAGGGAGTACATTTTATGTTGAAGTATCAACTTGAAATAGTCATCCATTCAACTGATTAAACTAAAAATGGTTCACGAATATATAATATATGTATAACTCATGTATTATATATATATAATCGTGTAAAATTAGTATATGATTTATATATTTTCTGCTAAAAAAATAAACAATGAATCTAACCGACTATTTTAGAGACACTTCTTTTTGGACTGCGTAGCTTTATATTCATATTAGTCTGACTTCCCTTAAACAAAAGGACCCCTACTGATATTGAGTACTTCAATTATTGGATGTTGATGGAATTTTAATTTACTCGTAGAGACAGATATGATCAGCTTAAATGTAGTGTTGTGCATAATTTGATAAATATCGAATTATCGTATTGAAATCAAAAATTTTGGTATTTGTTATTCGGTATGGTATTTGATTTAAGTTTTAAAAAAATATGATATTAGGTATGGTATTTGATATTTTTAAATGAAATACCGAAATACCGATACCGTACCGAAATATATATTATAGTATTACACAAAACACATATTAGTAATTATAACATAAATATAAACAATTGAAATTTTATTTTTCTTTATTCTCTAAGTTCATCAATTAACTTTAAGCAAGTAAGAAGACATTTCTAATGATCAAATTTATATCTTTATGTGCAGTTTTCTCTCTAGGTTGATTTTTTTGATTTTGGACAAAACTTTTATCAACAAACGTTTTCTGTTTTGTACTTTTGAGTATATTAATTAAGAATATTATAGTCTATGATTCTATGCACTTGTTAGTATTCAAACCGAATAAATCGAAGTTACCGAACCGAATAAACCGAAAAGAGAAAAATCGAATCATACCGAATTTAATTAGGTACGGTATTGGTATAGCATTTTAAGTAACCAAATACCGAAAATACCGAACCGAAATATCTAAATACCGCACCGACCGCCGAATACTCCTACTTAAATGGTGTGCTCACGGTATAGTGAAAATTTTGTGAAGTTTTCTTATCTAAACGATTTGAAGTGCTGAACAATGCATTTAATTAATTTAATTAACTCGCACAATGACTAACGCTTGAAAACCCCTAAAAATTATTATGTACATATTTTGTGAGTGGTAATCACTTGTTATAAGGAGAATGTACATTAGGTGCATTAAGATAGTTTCTCCGCGCATTCGAGTTGTTTATCCGTAAAACGGTACAATTAAATTTGTAACGTAATTTATAGACACATAAATTAATTTGATCCAAGAGTATAAAATAATAAAGAACAGAAATAAGTTAATTAAAATAAATTAAAAGAAAACATAAGCGTGACATTGGGCTGATCTTCTCCGAAAGCAATAACAAGAGCAGGATGAAGAATAAATGACAGAATATTGTTTTATAGAATAAGAGCTAGTTTTGCCTTTTTTTGCATACAAAATATTTCACATCCTACAATGAATATTTCGTATTAATATAAAGATTTTTTGTAACGGTTGCTCATTGAATGTTGTATTTCCTAACCGATATCTTCCCTTCTGATCTTCGTCCTAGATTTCAATGTTTTCAGAACTTACTTAGCACCGATCACATATTTGTAACCGCGTCAAATATTCGGTGACTCATACCTTACTTGTTTTTACTTTCATATATCAACTCATCAAGCATCCACTTATTATTTATCAATTTTACCTCATACACAAAACTACTAATACTACAGGCAAGCATGAGATTTTGGTGGCGTTTGTTTTGGAGTTTTAAAAATTAACTATTGAGTACATTTGTTTTGTTAAAGACTCGACGGTCCATAGAATTCTATAATTCTCACCAATATATAACAATTTAAAACGTTGTTCATTGATTCTAGAACCAAAATGTCCGTTTGCCAGCCAAGAATTACATTTATTTCAAGTAAAGCACAAATTCTTCCGCGCGCACTACAAATGGGGAACGAGAGACACAAGCTATACATTCAGGTATCATTTGTTTATATTTAATGGAGGTCTGGATTTTAATTATTTAGATCTTAAATATTAAGTGCGTTTGATTTTAATATCTCAATCTTAACAATTCAGATTTTAATCATTAAGTGTATTTTTTTTACTTCACAGCCACTTAATAGGTCTGAATAGGTCTATATAATTAAGATCTATAACCAAAACTTAATTTCATTAAAATACTATCGTCCATAATCATCACTAAATGCCGTCACCGCCTACCATTATCAGCTACCACCACCACCACCATCCTCAACCATAGGCCCCACCACTACTACCACCCACCACCCTCAGCACCATCATCCTCAATCATAACCACACACTCACTCAGCTCAACTACCACAACCAACCACCCCATCACCATCAATAACCATAACCGGCACCGCCCACTATTATATACTACCACCATCCATCATCACCTTCCTCAATCACCACCACCAGCACTACCCACCATTTATTAACTATCACCACCCACCATTATCCTCAATCATAATAGCTACCA